GCCTCCAGGACTGTGAGAAAATAAATTTCTGTTCTTTAGAAGTTACCCAGTCTCAGGCATTTGGTTTATAGCAGCACAAATGGACTAAGACAACTCGGTTATCTGTAGGGAGTAAATAGGAACAGATTGAGAGAGAAAAGGGAAAGGACAGAGACTTCTCTGAACATTCCTTTTTTATGTGACTTCAACTTGTGAACCATGTAAATGTTTTACATATTCAGGAAATTTTTAAAATAATGGAAAATGCTATAATTGAATATAAAGAGAAACAAATGAACCCACCATACAGAAAATACAAGGAAAACATACAGTAACTTTTGAATATAGCATGCTGACTGTACATCCTTAGGAATATGCTTTAAGGACAAAAAGAACTGCCCCACCACCAAAACACCCAAACTTAGTAGGTTTATTGTTAGTAGTAGTTTGATGTAATTCTGAAACTGGTCTATGAACCAAGATTTTCAATGTGAGGGCACTAATACAAAATGAGTTAGGAAAAACTAGTATTAAATTTGAACTGAAAATATCAGTATAAACTCTATGAATGAATGAGACAGACAGGGTCTTGGTCTGTCACCTGTGGTTGGAGTGCAATGGCATGAATAATGGGTTACTACAGCCTTGACTTCCCAGGCTCAAGTGATCCTCCTGCCACAGCCTCCTGAGCAGCTGAGACAACACAACAGGTGTACACCCAGTTCATTTCTTATCGTTTGTAGAGACTCAGCACTTTTGGAATATGGTAGCCTCTTACTATGAGTTAATAATAGTCCCAGAAGAGGTCTTGTGGACATTTTAGATTTTCCGCATCCTCTCCATTTCCCCTCCTCCCACCTTCATCCCTTTTTATCCTTTTCCCAGAAATTCTGTGTGTCACCAGAGAGCATTATGTACAGCAAAACAGAAAACGTGTTTAATAGAAAACATTAGCAGAGTTCTCATTAACATGCATAAAGAAAAAGCATAATGAAACAAGACCAAGTGGTTTTCACATAAGAACAGACCGAAAGGAATGAAGGTTTGACAAAGATATAATTAATTTTTAGATTTGATCATAGGGTATGGGTTAAGGGCAAATTAGCCTATTTACCAAATTCTGTGGCATCTTACTTCATCTTCACCTCCCACTTTGTACGCAGAGTGGAGGAGGTACAGTCCTAAGTATAAACAAGGTTACTGCCTTTTAAAAGATCATGTCCTTTGGCCAGGTGTGGTAGCTCACACCTGTAATCCCACCACTTTGGCGGGGGCCGAGGTGAGCAGATCACAAGGTCAGGAGATTGAGACCATCCTGGCCAACATGGTGAAACCCTGTCTCTACTAAAAATACAAAATTAGCTGGGCATGGTGGCATGTGCCTGTAATCCCAGCTATTCCGGAGGCTGAGGCAGGAGAATCACTTGAACCCAGGAGGCGGAGGTTGCAGTAAGCCAAGGGTTGCACCACCACACTCCAGCCTGGCCACAGAGCAAGACTCCATCTCAAACAAAACAAAAAGCCTTGTACTATTAACAGTATGAAAGCATTATGTTTTTGAGATACATCAATATTATTGCCCCCACCCCATTCCAACTAGTTTTCTTTTAAATCTAAGTTGTTCAATGGTAGGATATTGAACTTAAGGGAATAGTGATCTAGGTAAATATCTTGTTTTCTTCAGAAATAATTGATTAGGGGAAATCATAAATAAGAAAGTATATAAATTTATTATCTGCAGGTTATCGTGGATTCATACTCAAGATGATTATGTTGTAGGGAGAAACAAGTACATTCTTTTTTAGGTGCAGAGAATATGTGGAGATAATTACACTATCAAAGACTGTATATAAATTTTCCAAGTTGGGGAGGCGATGGTGCTAACACTGTTTAGCTGTTCCAGGTCAGTAAAATCAAGATTTAACAAAATATGGGCCTTCATGGGAGGCCTGTGAAATAAATAAATATATTCATAAAATACTTTCACAGCATGTATGGAAGTGAAGCATGAACTGGCTTGCTGGATGTTAAGTTTTCTTTGCTTCATAGCTATATATTCTGTGTTCCATTATTAATACTTTTCTTAAACTCTTGCTGCTTTTCCAAAGCAGTCTCTTCAGCTACTGTTAAGCTATAACATGGACCTTGTTCTTTATCTTACTCTAGACTTGATTTTGACATCTGAGTCAAACTTGAAGGCGTTGATGGTTCTGTTTGACTTTACCAATTGCCAAATGGCTGCATTTTTGTAATGTAAATTTTTTTTAAGAAAGGATAATCATGAAAAAGCTGTAGTCCCATAGAAGGTTTTTTATCAATACATTCACTTTATTCCTTCAATTTGCTTTATGCTATAAGAGCCCATTGTCTGAGAAAGATCATCAACTGAAAATATCGCTTCTTTAGTATGATTTATTTTCAGGCATATTTCTCCATCTTATCAAAGTAGTCATTTTTATATTTCATCCAAGTTAAAACTTGGACCAGGGTATAAACTGATCAATTTATGCTAAAAAACATTTAAATATAGGTTATGAAGGGATTCAAAATTTAATTTACATTACAGATGTTTATTATGTTTTTGTTGTTATTGTTTTGTTGAGATGGAGTCTCGCTCCGTTGACCGGGCTGGAATGCAGTGGCTCGATCTCGGCTCACTGCCACCTCTGCCTTCCGGGTTCAAGCATTCTTCTGCCTTAGCCTCCCAAGCAGCTGGGACTACAGGCCCTCACCACCACGCCTGGCTAATTTTTATAATTTTAGTAGAGGCAGGGTTTCACCATGTTGCTCAGGCTGGTCTCGAACTCCTGACCTTGTGATCCACCTGTCTCAGCCTGCAAAGTGCTGGGATTACAGGCTCAAGCCACCGCACCCGGCCTATATCTATTATTTATAGTTGTTTACTGGCACCTACCATATGTTTGATATATGCCAGGAAATTCAGAGTATTAAAATGCATTACTGCCCTTAGTGAGCTTCCTATTCCTAAAATATTGTTAAGTATGCAATCCATATGCATACAAATTACTGGTGATTTAAGATGGTTCTTCTACCAGAATGCCAGTGGAAATTTGTACAGTATAAACTGTGAAAGTGCTAAGTAGAGTGAACTTCAGGAATATTTTGAATAGTTTAGCAGCCACTGAGAATGGAAAGGTTGCAGGGCGTGATTAACCTGCAGAAAGTTAGGAAGCCCCCTGTGTGGCTGCTGTGGCTTCTCATTCTACCTGATTATTGAGGGTCTTGCACGTGGCAGTCACATAGTGTGTGTTGTTCATGGGGATTTAGCGCTGCTTTCGAGAGAGATGAATGACATGATTAGCTTTATAGCCAGTGTGATTTTAAGGCTTGGCTTGGGGATTGAGCATAAGGTACACAAAGTGAAAGAAAAGGGAAGATAAAAAGGAGAACTTGAGCAATGCAAATCAAAGTTAGCTTTTTTCTTCAGCTCAGTTGATTCTCATACTGACTTTAAGGTTGTGATTTTTTTTCTTTTTTTGAGACGGAGTTTCGCTCTTGTTACCCAGGCTGGAGTGCAATGGCACAATCTCGGCTCACTGCAACCTCCGCCTCCTGGGTTCAGGCAATTCTCCTGCCGCAGTCTCCTGAGTAGCTGGGATTACAGGCACGTGCCACCATGCCCAGCTAATTTTTTGTATTTTTAGTAGAGACGGGGTTTCACCATGTTGACCAGGATGGTCTTGACCTCTTGACCTCGTGATCCACCAGCCTCAGCGCAAGAGTGTGTCAGTTTTTAAAAACAGATTTTCTTTAATTGAAAAGTTGAGATACCACCTCATGCCAGTTAGAATGATGATCATTAAAAAATCAGAAGACAACAGAAGCTGGAGAGGATGTGGAGAAATAGGAACGCTTTTACACTGTTGAAGGCAGTGTAAATTAATTCAACCATTGTGGAAGACAGTATGGTGATTCCTCAAGGATCTAAAAATAGAAATATCATAGGCGGGCACTGTGGCTCACACTTGTAATCCTAGCACTTTGGGAGGCTGAGGCTGGCGGATCACCTGAGGTCAGGAGTTCGAGACCAGCTTGACCAATATGATGAAACCCCATCTTAAAAAAAAAAAAAATAGAAATACCATTTGACCCAGCAATCCCATTACTGGGTATCTGCCCAAAGGATTATAAATCATTCTATTATAAAGACGTATGCACAAGTACGTTTATTGCGGCACTGTTCACAATAGCAAAGACTTGGAACCAATCCAAATGCCCATCAATGATAGACTGGATAAAGAAAGTGTGTCACATACACCCCATGGAATACTATGAAGCCATAAAAAATGATGAGTTCATGTCCTTTGCAGGGACATGGATGAAACGGGAAACCATCATTCTCAGCAAACTGATACAAGAACAGAAAATCAAACACTGCATGTTCTCACTCATAAGTGGGTACTGCACAATGAGAACATAAGGACACAGGAAGGGGAACATCACACACTGGGGCCTGGGGTGTTGGGGGTAGAGGACGAATAGCTGGGGGTGGGGGGATTGGGGAGGGATCACATTAGGAGAAATATCAAATGTAGATGACAGGGCGATGGATGCAGCAATCCGCTACCATGGCACATGTATACCTATGTAACCTGCATGATCTGCACATGTACCCCAGAACTTAAAGTATAATAAGTAAAGTTGGACTTCCTGCTACCCTATGTCTCTGTAATATGAGTACCACCAAATTATTATCATTTAAATATCATCATCATTTAAAGATCATGAATGTGGCTGAAGTAAGTGAATTTGATGTCTGTTCATGGATAAAATTATTCCCCACTAACAAGTTTATCTGCATTCTTAGTGACTGGATAAAGACCATTTAAATCAGCCCAATTCCTATCAATATAAAAAAAAATCACAAAAATGTTGAAGATGCCTATTTCTCCTGACGACAGGAATGCTAGCTGTCAGTTTTCTAGTTTGGCCTTCATACCATGGAAGTCCTTAGAAACCTGTTTTATGAGTTCTAAATCATGCATATTCCTGTGTTCCAGGATTTCTCTCTGATCAAACGGACAGTTCAGGACTCAAGAGTCTGAGGATGAATGTTCACTGTGGCAGTGACAGTGACAGGTTATTGCGGCAGGAGGCCAGCTGCTTAGTGGATGATACCTCAGCTGCAGCCCAGGAAAAAGAAGCAAACAGCCTCATTTCATTTGGTCCTCATAATCTTACTTATCCTCTAGGTCCCAGGAATGAAGGTACAGTGATTAACTCTTGACTTAATTTGGGCGGGGGGCTTTCTGATACCAAAGCATCTACACTACCCAGAAAGCATGAATGTTTTTAATCTAAATAAATTATCCAATTAATTGCTTAGCTTGCAATCACAATTATATAAGGCTGACCTTCACAGAAAATCTCCAATTATTTAATCAGTCTAGCACATTTAATGTGGTGATAATGGTATTTTTTTTTTTAAAGCCACAGGTTTGGAGTCAAGACATATTCAGTTTCTAGCTCAGCTGCTTATTAGTTGTAACCATGGATGAGATCCTTAATCTTTCTGAGGATTTCTTTTTTTTTTTAAGATGGGGTCTCACTTTGTCACCCAGGTTGGAGTATAGTGGCATGATCTTGGCTCATGCCAAGATCTTGCAACTTCTGCCTCCCAGCCTCAAGCGATCCTCCCCCCTCAGCCTCCCAAGTTGCTGGGACCACAGGTGTGCACCACTACGCCCAGCTAATTTACATTTTTGGTAGAGACAGGGTTTCACCATTTTGCCCAGGCTGGGGAGCCTTGCTCTTAATGTAGAAAACAAGGCTATTAATATTCTTCCCAGCCCTGGCGTGGTGGCTCACTCCTGTAATCCCAACACTTTGGGAAGCCAAAGCAAGCAGATCACTTGAGGTCAGGAGTTTGAGACCTGCCTGGCCAACATGGCAAAACCCCTGTCTACGAAAAATAAAAAAATTAGCCGGGCATGGTGGTGAATGTATATAATCCCAGCTACTTGGGAGGCTGAGGCAGGAGAATCTCTCAAACCTAGGAGGCGGAGGTTGCAGTGAGCCAGGATCGCACCATTGCACTCTAGCCTGGGCAAGAGAGCAAGACTGTCTCAAAAAAAAAAATTCTTCCTACCTCACAAGTTAATGGATGTGAATGAAGGCTCCTGATAAACTGAGGTTCTTTTTAACTTTTAATTAAAACAATAGCAGCAGTAATAGCAACTACCTTATTGAGCATTTACTGTACTAGGAACTTTACATAATTCTTTAGATCAGGGGTGGCAAACTGGTCAAATCTGTCTACCTGTTTTTATAAATAAAATTTTAATGAAACAGCCATCGTATCCATATTGTCTGTGGCTGCCTTCCTGCCACAGTAGTGGCAGAGACTGTGACCACAAGTCTAAAATATTTACTTTGCGGCTCTTTATAGAAAATTTGCTGACTCTACTCCAGTTTAGTCCTTATAACTATTATCCTTGTTTTACAGACGAGGAAACTGAGGCTTAGGTAGTTTAGGTAACTTGCTCAGGTTCACAGTGCTGGGAGGTAGTGGGCTGGGATGCTTTCTGACTAGGCTGTTCTTCATGTATATCAGCTGACAGAAGAGCATGTGACTGCTGCCCAAGAGTACACTGTTAGGGAGAACTCATGCAAGGAGTCTCTGTTCCTACTCGCCCGTTTAAGCAGGATAGAACCTGAGGTTTCTTCCTTGGGTTTAGGAATCAACCCATTTTAATTGCTTCATCATTGGGGTGAAATCAAGCATTCTAAAGAACTGAATTAGTAATTCAGGTATTTATTTCATTTTGAATAAACAGCACCTCAAATGTGAAAGCCTATCCTGGTGATCAAAGTGTTTCTTGCTACAAGCTTGCCTGTGGGTTGCCTGGAAGCATAGCTTTGGTGTGCAAACATGAGACCACAGTGCAAGTTTATGAGAAACTATAGGATGTGAACTCTAAATAGGTTTTTGGTCTAGATGTTTGTTTGTTTGTTTGAGATGAAGTTTCACTCTTGTTGCCCTGGCTGGTGTGCAATGGCATGATCTTGACTCACTGCAACCTCCACCTCCCGGGTTCAAGCAATTCTCCTGCCTCGGCTTCCCAAGTAGCTGGGACTACAGGTGCCTTCCACCATGCCCAGCTAATCTTTTGTATTTTTAGTAGAGACAGAGTTTCATCATGTTGACCAGTCTCCTGGCCTCAGGTGATCCACCCTCCTCGGCCTCCCAAAGGGCTGGGATTACAGGTGTGAGCCACTGTGTCCAGCCTTTATTGCCTTTTATCTACAAACAAATGGGAAAAAAATTAAGTGTCCTCTGCCCAACAATTTATTTGGTTGACTCAGTATAGGAAATCAGACTAATTAATCATGTTCCTGAATTTGTTTACAAATTTTGTAAACAAATTTTGTAAATATGAGGGGTGGAAGTAATTCAGTTGTATTGATAACATTTTTTTTTTTTCTCAAATAGGGCTTGAAGAAAAGGTAGGAAAATGTTAACAAAGCTTGCCGAATCTAGGTGATGGGGCATATGTATTATATTAAGTTTGTGCTTCCATATGTCTGGAATTTTTCATTAAAAAACTTTTTCTACATTAAAACAAAATAGGGCTGTGTGTGGTGGCTCACACCTGTAATCCTAACACTTTGGGAAACCAAGGTGGGTGGATCACTTGAGACTGCCTATTTAAAAGAACCCTCTGGTAATCCTTTGATAATACTTACTTCTGATTGTCTTCTGTATGTATCCTGATTTCATATATTTAATTTTAAGCCTGTTTTATAGCATGCAGTATTTTGCATGCATATATATGTATATATATATGTACAATATATATTTATTCTTAAATTTATTTTTTATTTTTGAGACAGAGTCTTGCTCTGTTGCCCAGGCTGGAGTACAGTGGTGCCATCTTAGCTCACTGCAACCCCCACCTCCCAGGTTCCAGAGATTCTCCTGCCTCAGCCTCCTGAGTAGCTGGGATTACAGGCACCCGCCACCATGCTTGGCTGATTTTTCTATCTGTCTAATTTTTGTATTTTTAGTAGAGACAGGGTTTTACCATGTTGGCCAGGCTGGTCTCAAACTCCTGACCTCAGATGATCTACCTACCTTGGCTTCCCAACATGCTGGGATTAGAGGTGTGAGCCACTGCACCCGGCCTATTTTTAAGTGCTCTCACATCCTTAATTTTAGTTTATATTCAGAACAGGCCTGTGAGGTAGATGGAGTGAACATTATTTATCCTCATTTTATAGATGATGGACCAGGTAGAAAAATTAAATAAATTGCTTAAAGAAAATAGCTTTTTGATGATACTAAGAAACAGATTTCATTAATAAATTTTAATGCCATCTGCACTGGAACTTTTCTGCTGAGAGTAATACCTACCTTTTTGAAAAAATAGTTTAGGTAATCTTAGGATTCTCCTGTATATAATGAAAATGGCTTTTACTGTAAATTTCTAGGAAAAGTAATATATTGGAAAATTACAGACTATCATTATCCCTTCTGGAAAATAAAATTTTCAAACAGTTTTGAAGAATTTGAAAATGAATAGTTTTGGCACATATTAGTAGCAGGTTTCTTAAATGAAGCATGGGAAATATAAAAGTATTAGTTAGCAATAGAAGTGAAAACAAGTAAAAAGTGATTGCCTCTGAATCAACACTGGGGGAGGCACAGAGAATAGCAGGGGAGACTGCTGGGCCTCCACAGAAATTCTTCTCTATGTTTTTCTTAACCATAGACATAGTTTACTTTAGAAAATTTAAATAATGTTAAAGTTTGGGTATCCTGCCTTCATCCCCTCCCTCCCGCAACCTTCACACACACATGGAGGAGATCCAGTATGAGTCTCTAGTTTTTTTGTTTGCTTGCTTTTACTTGTTGTAAGCAAGAGGTTTTTTCTTGCCTGTGAACACCTAAAATTTGGGGGTTTTTTTGTTTACTCCTTGTTTTAAAGAAGACAGAGTTTGTTTTTCTCTCAAGGCTTTTGCTCTCAGGTTATTTTGGTTTCTTTGTATGTTCTTTTAGACCTCTCACTTGACTATGCCTCTCAGCCAGCAAATCTTCAGTTCCCTCACATAATGCCCCTTGCCGAAGACATCAAAGGTTCTTGCTTCCAAAGTGGGAGTAAACGGAACCATGAACCTTTTATTGCTCCAGAAAGATTTGGAAACAGTAGTGTGGGCTTTGGCAGTAATTCCCATTCCCAAGCACCAGAGAAAGTGACGCTTCTTGTAGATGGCACACGTTTTGTTGTGAATCCACAGATTTTCACTGCTCATCCGGATACCATGTTGGGAAGGTAACTGATGATAATTTTCTTCCAAATTTACTCTATTCTCTATAAACAGAAATACCTGCTATTTATCTTGCATTAACAATAAAAAGCATTGTATAGGTCGGGCGCAGTGGCTCACGCCTGTGATGCCAGCACTTTGGGAGTTTGAGGCAGGCAGATCACCTGAGGTCTGGAGTTTGAGACCAGCCTGGCCAACATGGTGAAACCCTGTCTCTACTAAAATTACAAAAATTATCTGGGAGTGGTGGCAGGTGCCTATAATCCCAGCTACTTGGGAGGCTGAGGCAGGAGAATCAGGAGAATCGCTTGAACCTGGAAGGTAGAGGGTGCAGTGAGCTGAGACCACACCATTGCACTCCAGCCTGGGCGACAGAGCAAGACTCCATCTCAAAAAAAAAAAAGCATTGTATTTTTATTTTTCTGCCCTCATACATTTGTGAAAGGGAGGGCAAGCTGGTAAAAGCCTAATGTGTGTTGGTATTTTGGAGTGGGAAGAATACTTATTTTATTTATAAAGCCAGTATACTGAAATGAGCCCCACAAAAGGAAGTAAAATCTATTTGGAAACTATAAAAAAAAAAAACCTGCTAAATCTGATTCTCTGATCTTCTACAAATTCACTCCAAGTAATGGTTTTAGAGTTTCACAGGTCAGAGATGCTGGGGTAAGGTGAGACCTAAGTCTTGCTCCCTGTTTTAAAAAAATAAAAACAGTATTAGACAAATGTTCTACATGGCACAAGAACATAGCCATTTTACTGAAAAGCATTTTCCTGCCAAGTTTTATTCTTGGCAACCGATGCTATGCTGTCATTTTCTAATGCTTCCATTACTATTCAGGTATTTGAAATGTAATCTTTAAGTGGAATCTTTAAACCTAGTTATTTTGTTTTTTCATGATTGCTCTCTTTATTCTTCATGGTCCATTCTCTGTGCTGCTTCATTTAGACTTATCTTCCTTTTAAACATCTCCAGCCCCCAGATTTTTAGGGTTAGAATTTAGGAAATGGAAATAGCCTACTAAGGAGGAACAATGTCCAGGAAGGAGTCCCAGAGCCTAGGCTAGGAGTTAAGAGATTGTCTTTCTGGCCAACCATACACCTTAACCTAAGGAAGAGCAAATTGGGATCAGAGTAAAAATAGTAGTAATCATGATATTATATATGTAGATTTGGCTTTTGATAATTCTTATCTACTTAGAAGATTTTACTTTGTTTAGAGATCTAACCTCAGGACTTTGAATTAATTTGAGTTAGAAATTCGAATTGATCACACTAATTTATTGAATTCTAGGCTAAATAGAATCCAGCCCTTCAAATATAGGTGTATTTGAACATAACAAATTCACAGTGAACCACTTTTTAATTAGAACCAAACCTGTCTACATAATTCTTAAACATCTGAATTGCAGCACATTAAAACATTTTCCAGATTGGTCCTGTATTTTTTTATCAGGCTTGACTTCTTGTTCTCAGTATGGATATTACCACCATTCCCAACCCCCTAAAAAAAAGTGTTTCTTAGTGCAGACTGGCTGTTTTGGGTATGTTGCCTCTGAAAGCAGTGATCAAGAGAAGAAAGGCAAGTGTTTCCTGGGTAAGATTCTTGGGTGACACTGGTTTGAATCTTGGAATGAGTTGTCCCATGAAGTGAAGAGTCTGGTTTTTTATCTGTCTGGTTCACTCAGCTCAGTTGGCCAAGGTCATATGTTCTGTTCTATTCTGTGGCTACCTGTTCTGTTATATACAGTACTTGTAAGCCTAGCCAGTGAGCTTACAGATGTTAAACGGGGAGAGGCTGAGAGAAAGAGAATGGATTAATGCAGATCCATGCCACTACTAAATAAATAACGCTGAGCTGAAGTCTTACTAATGATAAATGGGGGGATTATATTTACAGTATGTTCACTATTTTTATTCAGAGCTCTCTGAGCTAGTTTTCATTCAACCAGAGCATTCCAGAAAAACATCTGCATTCTTTGGAGGCTACTTTTATCAAGACAGATTTCTTATGGGTGTTAGTTATTTGGGAAGCATGTGAAATGGAATCATTTTCAGACCTTTGAAAAGCAGCCAGTTCAGGCTGGAGGACAAGTTGTGAACAGTTGAACAGCAATACTTCCCAGCAGTTTAAGGAAGGAAATGGCAGTGAGTCCCCACTGGGAAGTCAAATCTATTCTGGTTGAAGATAGTAGCTGCCTGCCCTTTCCTTTGTGTTATCTAACCAACCACAGCTCATACACAAAAGTGCAGCAGGAGTAGAAGTCATGGGGTCATTTAGACTGGAGGGGATCTGACAGAAGGGAGGAAGGATGGAGAGAGGTGGAAAAGTAAGCCCTCCTCCCTGTACCCTATGACTTCTGAGTTCATACTGAGAGCAAGCCTGCCTCTCTGAAATGTAGTAAACTGCTGATAAGCCTAATAATGCCTACCCTCCTTTTCTACCTGATCTGGAAATCCTGTCATTCTTGGTATTGAGTAAGGCCATTTTCCCCCAGAGCTCCACTGTTAAGACATACCAGGAAAGCATTAACATAGCTGCACCTAACAAGATGAGATGTTGAAAAGTAAAACAGAAATATTGACAAATGGCATATTAGATAGGTCAGTGTTGACAGGAGAGGGGACAGGAATAAAAAGGAGTCTAGATGCTGTCTTCCTGAGCTGTCAGTATATATAGGCAGGTTCTTGGGGAGGGCATGAAAGGTTACCATCTCAACACAGATTTCCAAGGGCCACCTCTGCAGTTGCTGTTTACTGCATTTATTGCCAAAGAAACTCACTAAAGGTGAACTTTGTGGACTTGATCCTTCATTCTTCTTTGCACACAAATGCTTAAAGCAATTGTCCCCTTTTCCTGTCTGAAGGGAGTTGCCTAAGACTGAGTTGTCTTGTGGGCATTGGGTCCCAGTGCTGTGTTTTTAACTTATACTATGAGAGAATGGGATGGAGTCTTCCAGAATGAGGTACGGAAGGGAGAAGTCTCATCTGTGAAGAATCATGCTGGAGAAGATAACATTATTACCTGGGTATCTTTCAGGATGTTTGGACCAGGAAGAGAGTACAACTTCACTCGGCCCAATGAGAAGGGAGAGTATGAGATTGCCGAAGGCATCAGTGCAACTGTATTTCGCACAGTGTTGGTGTGTAGTGGCCCTTTTTTGTTATATTCTCTTCTCTTCCCCAGGGGCATGTGTGATCAATAGGCTTGAGAGTTCCATCAGCTATGTTACTGTCTTTAGGGTCTCTGGTTTCCAGTTCTTTGCTTTCTCCCTTTGTTTTCTATTCCTATAACTTTTAAGTCCTTGCTTGTGTGTGGGCTCTATCAGTTACCAAGTTCTGATTAAATACCTCAAGATAGCCAGGAGCTGTTTTGCCATCTAATGAATCATACATTTGGTGGTAATTCCATTAGTGCATTGCTTTAACAGGACCAGGAATGCATAGAGATGAAGAAGTCATTTTTCACCTTGTTCTTTGCCTACGTTTTTTCCTCGTAATCTATTTACAGGATTATTACAAAACCGGTATCATCAATTGTCCTGATGGCATCTCTATCCCAGATCTTAGAGACACATGTGATTATCTCTGCATTAATTTTGACTTCAACACTATCCGATGTCAAGATCTGAGTAAGTACAAGAGCAGCTGCCAGCTATACTTGAGCAGCTGAACTTTGAGTTTTCTTGGAAGTCACTGATTTTTTTTTTTCTGAGACAGAGTCTTGCTCCGTCTCCCAGGCTGGAATGCAGTGGTGAGGTCTCGGCTCATTGCAACCTCCTCCCAGGTTCAAGGGATTCTCCTGCCTCAGCCTCCCTAGTAGCTGGGCTTACAGGCACCTGCCACCACACCCGACTAATTTTTGTATTTTTAGTAGTGATGGGGTTTAACCATGTTGGCCAGGCTGGTCTTGAACTCCTGACCTCAGGTGATCCGCCCACCTCCGCCTCCCAAAGTACTGGGATTACAGGTGTGAGCCACCGTACCTGGCTGAGGTTTTTTTTTACTAAACAGAAGGAATTTCAAGTGTGGGTTGAAAATCATCTGCAGAGGCAGAGATGTGATACTAACCCGTTTCCTCTCTTGGTTAAAAGCACTGTGAGGAACTGGAGTGGACAAAGGAAAACAGATAGTAGTTTCTAAATGGAGCTTGACCAGTTAGAGACCAAGCTAACTGTTTACCTCTTGGGACTTTGGTGTCTCAACTCTAACAAACAAGGATACTGATGGTCCAGCATGAGGAACAGTTTACTAATAAAGTCAAACAGCACAAATTGGCCAGGTTCTCCTGATCATTATTTTGTCTTTTTTTTTTTTAACTTGAGATGGGTTCTTGCTATGTTGCCCAGGCTGGTCTCGAACTCCTGGCCTCAAACAGTCCTCCCACCTCAGCCTCCTGAGTAGCTGGGACTACAGGTACATGCCACCATGCCTGGCTGTGTTTCGTTTTGGAGACACAGTCTTGCTCTGTTGCCCAGGCTAGAGTGCAGCGGCACAATCTCAGCTCACTGTAGCCTCCGCCTCCTGGGTTCTAGTGATTCTCCTACCAGAGCAGCGGGGATTACAGGCATGAGCCACTATGCCCAGCTAATTTTTGTATTTTTAGTAGAGATAGGGTCTTACCATGTTGGCCAGGCTGGTCTCGAACTCCTGACCTCAAGTGATCTCCCCATCTTGGCCTCCAAAAGTACTGAGATTACAGGCATGAGCCACTGCACCTGGCCTATTATTATTAACTTAAGTGCTTTATAGATATGGACTTGCTTGAATCTTGTAACAATTCTGAAAGATGGGTTATAACCTCATTTAAGAACTTAGCTTGTTCAGAGCTCTAGGCATTAAGGTTAGAAATAGAACTCAGATTGTCTAACTGCAAACTCCATGCTCTTATCATTACCTAGGCTTCCTGAAATTATTTAAAGAATTTTTCTTTGAAATTCATGATACATTTCCCTGCATGTTGCATGAAGGCCTCTGTACATGTTATTTCTCTACTGAGTGTATTACACACTTAGAGTAGGTCCTTTGGTGTCACCAAAATTCAGATTATTCCTCTACTATAGTACTCTTAACTCCAGGAAATGAGGATCCAAAGCATCTTCAGAAGAGGTATACAAAGAATCGTCCCCAAATGATGATTTCATCTCTTACAGAATTAACATTTATGGTCTGACCTTATATGTCCAACAAAACCTCAATTGATCAGAATGCTCAAGGATTATTAAACATGAGAAGACATACTTAACAAAGTTTAATAATCACCTTGGAGCAGGAAACAATCTTTTGTTTTTAAATGTGCCACTTCTCCGAACCTCATCAATGATAACAGCCATTACCTCATATTCTTTTTCACTCCAGTAATATGTGCATTTAGGCAGAAAGCATGTTCACCTACATTTTGTCTCTGCAGGTGCTTTACTGCATGAACTGTCTAATGACGGTGCTCATAAGCAGTTTGACCACTACCTCGAAGAGCTGATCTTGCCCATTATGGTGGGCTGTGCCAAGAAAGGAGAGCGAGAGTGTCACATTGTTGTGCTGACGGATGAGGATTCTGTGGACTGGGATGAAGACCACCCTCCACCAATGGGGGAGGAATATTCCCAAAGTAGGAGCTTCCAGCATGGTGTAGATGTTTTCAGCAAGAAACTCGCTACCTGGGGTGGCAGCTTGATCCTAGAACAAATGTGAATATCAAAGTTGAGCCCGTGATGAGCACACTCACCTGGATGACAAATCCCTAGTGATGCAGGTCTAACCTTTATGCTAGGGAACATAGTGAATGTTGTTATACCATTCACTTCTTTCTCTGGTGTCTTGTACTGTGTAATATACTGAGGCAGCACATTAAATGATGGTGTCATTCTTTTAATTCATTTCCTTTTTAAATCCTTTTTAATCGGTAATAATTCAAAATTCAAAAAAGCATAAAAGGATATAAACTTTAAAAGTCTTATTCTCACTCCTGCCCTGTCTATCCCATTTTCTTCCTCAATTTCTTTTATAGGCTTCCAAGTATATTCAGTGTACATACATAATCAATTACTTGTTTTCTCCTCCTCTTTCAAATGTACCATATCATACAACTGTTCTATGCCATGTGTTAACATAAAAATCTTCAACGTTCTTTTTTGTGTCTCTATAGTAGTCCCTTGCACAACTGTGCCATAATTGATTTAACCAGTCCTGTTATTGGACATTTAAACTATTGGCAGGGTGCAGTGGCTCACACCTGTAATCCCAGTCCTTGGGGAGGCTGAGGTGGGTAGATCGTTACAGAGGTGAGGAGTTCAAGACCAGCCTGGCCAACATAGCGAAACCCCATCTCTACTAAAAATACAAAAATTAGCTGGGCAAGGTGGCACATGCCTGTAACCTAGCTATTCAGGAGGCTGAGACAGGAGAATCGCTTGAACTTGGGAGGCAGAGGTTGCAGTGAGCCAAGATCACACCATTGCACTCCAGCCTGGGTGACAGCGCTACAGTCTGTCTCAAAAAAAAAAAGATTTGTGGCTTTATAATTTTGATAGATGTTGCCAAATTATCCTCCATAAAAGTTATACCAATTTACACTCACAAAACAGTACATGACAGGTTTCTTTCCATTGTTTCCACCCCCTCACCAAAACAGTGGCTTTTTTTTTTCTTTTTTGAGACAGAGTCTCTATTGCCCAGGCTGGAGTGCAATGACATCATCTCAACTCTGAAACCTCTGCCTCTCAGGTTCAAGTGATTCTCATGCCTCAGCCTCCCGAGTAGCTGGGACTACAGGTGCGTGCCACCACACCTGGCTAATTTTTGTATTATTAGTAGAGACGAGGTTTCACCATGTTGGCCAGGCTGGTCTCGAACTCCTGACCTCAAGTGATCCACCCGCCTTGGCCTCCCAAAGTGCTAGGATTACAGGAGTGAGCCACCATGCCTGGCTAACAGTGGCTTGAAAAATTTTTAGTTTTCAGATAGAAGCTTGCTCTTTCACTCAGGCTGGAGTGCACTGGTGCTGTCATGGCTCACTGTGGCCTCAAACACCTGGTCTCAAGTGATTCTCCCACCTCAGCCTCCAAGTAGCTTGGACTGTGCCAACACAACTGGCTGATTTTTTTTTTTTTTGAGACGGAGTTTCGCTCTTGTTACCCAGGCTGGAGTGCAATGGCGCCATCTCGGCTCACTGCAACCTCCGCCTCCTGGGTTCAGGCAATTCTCCTGCCTCAGCCTCCTGAGTAGCTGGGATTACAGGCACGCACCACCATGCCCAGCTAATTTTTTGTATTTTTAATAGAGACGGGGTTTCACCATGTTGACCAGGATGGTCTTGATCTCTTGACCTGTGATCCACCCACTCGGCCTCCCAAAGTGCTGCGATTATAGGCTTGAGCCACCGCACCCAGCCAACTGGCTGATTTTTTTTTTTAATTTTGTGTAGAGATGGGGTCTCACTATGTTTCTTTGCCTAGGCTGGTCTCAAACTCCTGGCCTCAAGCCATCTTCCTGCATTGGCCACCCAAAGTGTTGGGATTATAGCTGTAAGCCACCATGCCTGGCCCCAAGACAGTGTTTTTTAAAACTTTTATCTTTGCTAATTTCTTAATAGGTAAAAAAAACTGCAGGAGTTCATGATTGGCATGAGTTTTAATTACATTTCTCATTTCATAAGTGAGTCTGAAAAAAATCTTTTTTTTTTTTGAGATGGAGTCTCCTGTTGCCTAGGCTGGAGTGCAGTGGTGTGATCTCAGCTCACTGCAACTTCTGCCTCCCAGGTTCAAGTGGTTCTTCTGCCTCAGCCTCCCGAGTAGCTGTGGTAACAGACCATCCACCACCATGCCTGTCTGAGTTTTGTATTTTTAGTAGAGACGGGGTTTCACCACGTTGGCCAGGCTGGTCTTCAACTCCTGACCTCAACTGATCTGCCTGCCTAAGCCTCCCAAAGTGCTGGGAATACAGGTGTAAGCCACTGTGCCAAGACAAAACCTTTCCAGTTTTCAAGAGCCATTGTAATTTCCTTTTTTGCTCATGGTGCTTGTGCCTTTTGTCCATTATGAAATCAGATTGTTAGTCTTTTAGTTAGTGATTTGTGAAAGCTCTATTTGTGGCAGCTCTTTCTAATTAAGGAAATCAGCCTTTATGAGTTGCAAATTTTTTTCATTCAGTTGTCTTTTTAGCTTTGGTAAATGGTGGTTTAGGCTATGCAGGGATGTTATATTTCTATAATAATCAGTTTTTCTTTTATGGCTTCTACATTTAATGTTGTACCCGGAAAGTCCCCAGCCTGAGATTATAAAAATTTCTCTTATGGTTTATATATTATTTAACATTTAATCTTTGATCCATCTGGATTTTTTGGCATTAGTGGTCAAGTATACCTTTCATTAGTTTGATTCTGTTACCTTATCTCTTTCCTCTTAGGTCTTCACTCCCTGGCTAATCTCATATTTTTTCTTTTTCAGTTCTTTATAGCTCCAAGCTCTACAGATTCTTCAAATATATTGAGAATCGGGATGTTGCAAAAACAGTGTTAAAGGAACGGGGCCTGAAAAACATTCGCATTGGAATTGAAGGTAAAAAAAAAGTCCCAGTCAATATTCAGGTTGGGTCTGTGGCCACAGCTTATGTCCTGAAAATTTAGTTTCCAGAGGACCTACAAAATAGGCATACATAAACCACATTCTTACTTAAGTTTGAAGGGTTTCTGTTTTTGTCCTTATTTTTCATTTTATCTGCAGTTAAAAAATGGTTTGAAACAGCCACAGAAACAAGTTCGAGTTTACTAGTTCAGGATAAAGAGCAGTGAGGGAAAGGACACTGGTAGAAAGATACAGCAGGGCTTGTGGGCTCACCAGGTGAGAGCATCGTTCTGCCACCAGTCTTGAAGATGTTTCTGGCATCTGGAAGGGTCCTTCTGAAAAAAGAGCTCGGGGACTCAAAATTTAAGATTATTCCATGCCCTTGAGGAACATCTGGATCTATTAACAGAACTACTTTGAATGATCTTGAGCAGTGGCTCCAAACCTGTGGTCCCCATGGAAGGCTCTCAAGAGACTTGATTCCTGGAGAGTGCTAAAGCCATCAGCCATCTCGTCTGCCCTGTGTGGATCTTTGTTTGACTCTTGTGCTTTGCTGCTCTTGCTGCCTCACTTCTGCTCATACAACCCATCAAACCTTCACTGTGTCTGACTTAAGTTGAATTTAAATTGGAAGACATTCTTTTTTTAAGAGAGGGTTTCACTCTTGCTCACACTGGAGTATAGCGACACAATCATGGCTCACTGCAGCCTTGACTTCCTGGGCTCAAGTGGTCCTCCCACCTCAGCCTCCCGGGTAGCAGAGACCACAGGCACATATCACTATGCTGCACTATTTTTTTTTAACCTTTTTTCTAAGAGGTGAGGTCTCCTTCTTTGGCCCAGGCTGGTTTTGAACTCCTGGACTCAAGCAGTCCTCCCACCTTAGCCTCCCAAAGTGCCAGGATTACAGGTGTGAGCCACAGTGCCCAGCCTTGGAAGACATTTTTGAAGATTATCTATTAAACCTCCTACTCTGTCTTTCCCTTGTCAGGTACATTTCCCAGAAAAACCCATTGAGCTGTTTTACCATTAGAACATTCTGCCATACTTACTTAATAGATAACTGCCTCCCTCTCCTGCTTGTCTTCTAATTAATAGCCTCTGAAGCTACTTTGACTATTTCTCCTATTTCCACGTGACAGCCTTTCACATATTTTAGGCAGCATCTCTGTTTTTTCTTTAGGCTAAACATCCCACATTTCCTTAACTGTTTCTCATGTAGTATGTCCTCTGGCCAACAGAATTCAGAGGACCAGAGTAGCCATGCCTCAGGAGGATTTTTGTTCCATGGTATTGTTACCAGCAACAGCAGATTCCTGAACTAATAAGAGGCTTCTCTCCTCTTTCCATTAGAAGGGATAGAATTCTTGTTACCCCTCAGTTAGTCCCTTTTTTTCCCCCCTACCATAAATGAAGTGTACTTTCAAATCAGTTAGTCCCTTCTAAGGACAAGACCTACTAATCTGAGCAGCAAGGAAGTGAACATGTAGGTGCTTGGGGCTGAGAGCATGGAGCAGGGACTAGTTACTTCTCACATATTTTTCAGGCTATGATTTTGGGAGAAAACTGATGTGGTAGGAAGGAGAAAATATGGACACCAGAGTGAGCACAATTTGTCAGTCATGAGAATGGCCTTTTTCCGTTGCAGGTTACCCTACCTGTAAAGAAAAAATTAAGAGAAGACCTGGTGGCCGGTCTGAAGTCATCTATAATTACGTACAACGCCCCTTCATCCAGATGTCATGGGAAAAAGAAGAAGGAAAGAGTCGTCATGTGGATTTTCAGTGTGTTCGAAGCAAATCCCTCACGAATCTGGTAGCTGCTGGAGAAGATGTCTTGGAGGACCAGGAGATATTAATGCATCACCCACCACAAGTGGATGAACTTGACCGGCTAAATGCCCCACTTTCTCAGATGGCTTCTAACGACTTTCAGGATTAGGGCCAGCTGTGGGTCTACCCCTTGTCGGAGCCCATCTCACTTGAGATACCTGCAGCCAGCCCTCCCTCATGATTTGTCTCACCTAAGTAGAAGACATGCTTCTCCCCTATCCTTTTCCTTTCTCCCATAATTAACATTTGTCCTTTTCAGTAAGTCTGCGCCTCTGGCAGGGGATGAAGTACTCACTGGTGAATTAGCTACCATCTTTACAGAAGCCCTGGTAACTTGAAAAATTTGGGTGTGGTGCTGTTCACTGAGTCTTTGTGTAACTGCAAAAGCAGGAAAGGAAGTCAAGACTCCTGTTGCCTCGTGTTTAGCAAAGCAGTCCTCATCCTTTTTACTCCGTTTTTGGGTTTTGTTTTTGTTTTATACCAGGCAAACTGCTTAGTAGCAAAGGGACCAAACTTGAAAGGTGACAATCTCTAACTTCTAAAAGCAGGTACCAGATGCTCATTAGAGGTTAATCAAGGTGCCATTCTTGGAGGCCTCTGCATCCAGATTGCATCTGGAAAGAACTATAGGCTCCTATTCAGTATGTCCAAAAGGAAATTCTCAAGAGCTTAAATTCAGATTTCTCATTAATGCAATGAAAAATTCAAAACCACACAGATTCTTTGGCAGGAAGGATAATGGAATAACAATGTTGATGAGGCCTTTTTAGCTTCAAGGTTTTGGAATCTAAACAATGTGATGATTCATTTGGAACGAAACAAGTAGAAGAACCTCTCCAAATCAGGCCAATTGGATTATCCTGGCTTGGAATCTGTTGTGAAACCACAGGTCTTGACACTCTGGGGCAGCACATTGCTGTGGATGCGGCTAGGAGACCTTAGAATGGCTTAAAGGCTTTCAAGATGACAGCAGAAATGTCTTGCACAAGTGCTGTTTCTCAATAGAAAGACTTAGAATTCTGAGTGCCAGCGGGGGTGTTTGGAGTGAGGCTGGGTGGGAAGCATCATCTGCGCAGTCCCTGTCCTGCTGCAGGATTTTTCTCTGCGTGTTTTCATACCATGGGATTTTTGGGTATCTGTGTATTTTGGTTCTTGAAATAGCTTAATAGCTGCTCACACACTGGGTAAGAAAATTATACCAATGTCATCCCCAAAGGAAGAGTGAGTTGAAGGGAAATTAAGCCCAGTCATTTTATTTGATCTGTCAGCTCTGTTACCAGTGCATGCTCACCCAGATCACCCTTCCCAGCCCCCCACAGTGCTGAACCACCTTCCTCTTCTCCATGGCTATTAATAGTATGGTTAATTTAGAGTCCAGAGCCAAATATAAATATTTTGGGATTATCCCCCAGTTTGTGGTAGAAGCTGACTGGAATACAGGTTGAGTATCTCTTATCCAAAATGCTTGGGACCAGAAATGTTTCAGGTTTCAGCTATTTTCCAGATTTTGGAATATTTGCAGAATACTTAAGAGCTGAACACCCCAAATCTGAAAAGCTTTTAAACATCATGTCGGTACTCAAAAAACTTGATTTTGGAGCATTTCAGATTTCAAATTTTTGGATTTGGGATGCTTACCCTGTGTAAGAGAGGCTACTTGATTCCATTTAATGACTGTCCCAGTTGTAATCATCCAAAGATAAAAGCTGGGTAGATGTTGAAAGTTCTTTCCAGGATTGAAGAGCATCCTTATGTCTCTTACGTGACTAGCATCACAGTGGGAATAAATGCTCTGTTCTCCACTAGGAAGTAGTAAGCAGTTAAATTGAGCTCTCCCCCACATGACAACCATTGGCATCCATTTGCAAGGCTGATAGCCTGGATTAAGGGTTAGGATTCTTTATAGCTAGAAGGTAGTTTTATTTCTGAAACTAATTGGTTCATATTTGAGGTCAGGTTTGGCCCTGACCTTACCAGTACCACATTTATACCCACTACCAGTTGACTAGCCCAGATAATTGTTAAATGGTCCTTCCTTTCTGCTTCTCAGAAGACTTCCATGCCATTACAAAGGAAATTTGAATTATATAGTGTTTGTATATTCCACAAGTATGTGTAACTTCTGTTATACAGCTTATGTATTGTTAACATTTAAGTGTAAACATGCCACAGCTAACACTTAAAAATGAAAACTAATTTTTCCTTAGGGAAAAAAAAACATAGGAAATATGGCATGTACTTGATACTGTTCTATGTAACCCTTTACTTTGCTCAGGCTTTCAAGATTGAAGTCCTTTCTCCCCCAACTTAGGTTAACATGCATTTGGCCCCAACCTTTGGGGTTTCAGTAAGCTGGAAATCTGTGAAGGCAGGTCTTCTAGTCACGAGGTGGTGACTAGAAGGAAAAGCTGGGACCACAGGTTCCTTCTGGTGGAGAGGAAGGTTTATTTCTATGTCCCTCCCACCACCCTCCACCTGGAGCTCACCCAAGCCTGCTCCATTCCTGGGGCAGAACAAAAAGCAGGACCTCTCAGATCTCACAGAAACAAGGGCTGGGTTGAGGGCACCCCCTTCAGAGTTGGTTACTGACCAGATGGGCAAAAGGCATTTCTAATTTTAAAAAGGTGGAACTTGGGTTTGGTGTTTTCTTCCAAGTACCTAAATAAGCAAGCCAGGCTGTTTATACAGAAACATTTTCACAAGAAGATGGTTTTAGCCAGAGTACCTTACTCAGAGCGTCTCAGCAAGCCATGATTAACTTGAATCTGAGGTTTAGAATCTTGAGTTTGCATCTGCAGCATGTCATGCAGGGTCGATGAGGAAACATTTGCCACTCAGGAGTTGGAGGGAGGGCAAGAGGACAGTGTTAAGATGTGTCAGATCATTTCGTGGTTTCTCCTAAGCTAAGCCCTGGAAAAATATTTGAAAGAATGGCAGCAAAAAGGATAAGAAAGTAAGCTACATTTACTGCACAATATGCGGTAGCCAGTACTACTCTAAATCCCAAGAGAACAGTATGATGCCTAATATATACTGGTCTATGAAAATACTGTGGAATAAGCCCGAGAAGGTTAGATGTGTTTGCAGGTAGTATCCCAAGGGTCCCCCTCTAAGTAAAACAAATATCCCAGACCACAGGTTTTAATGTAAATTCATAAAGTGGAACATGGAGGATTTTTTTTTTAATCAAGTGTCAATCAAAGTTAAAACTCAAGGGTTCTTGGCCAGGTGCAGTGTCTCACGCCTGTAATACCAGCACTTTGGGAGGCCGAGGCAGGTGGATCACAAGGTCAAGAGACTGACACCATCCCGGCCAACTTGGTGAAATCCCGTCTCTATTAAAAAATACCAAAAATTGGCTGGGCACGGTGGCATGCGCCTGTAGTCCTAGCTACTTGGGAGGCTGAGGCAGGAGAATTGCTTGAACCTGGGAGGCGAAGGTTGCAGTGAGCCGAGATAGCGCCACTGCACTCCAGCCTGGTGCCTGGCAACAAAGTGAGACTCTGTCTCAAAAAGAAAAAAGAGCAGCCTGGCCAACATGGTGAAACCCCATCTACTAAAAATACAAAAAATTTCGCTCGCTGTGGTGGCAGGCACCTATAGTCCCAGCTGCTTGGGAGGCTGAGGCAGGAGAATTACTTGAACCTGGGAGGTGGAGGTTGCAGTGAGCTAAGATTACACCACTGCACTCCAGCCTGGGCAATAGAGCAAGACTATCTCAAAGAAGAAAAAAATCAAGGATTTTAGCTGGTTGTAGTGGCTCATGCTTGTAATACCAGCACTTTGGGAGGCTAAGGTGGGAGGATCACTTGAGGCCAAGAGTTTGAGACTGGCCTGTGCAACAAAAAAATAGCCAGGCATGGTGGTGCACACCTGTAGTCCCAGCTACTCAAGAAGCTGAGGCAGAATAATTGCTTGAGCCCAGGAGGATGAGGCTGCAGTGAGCCATAATCATGCCACTGCACTCCAGCCTGGATGACAGAGCAAGACCCTGTCTCAAAAAACATTTTAAGTCAAGGGTTTGTAGTAATATATATTCAGTGCCACTTGTTGCCATCACTTTGGAGTTGTTGAAATGGGCATACTGAGCTCAGAAAGCAAATCTGATGCCTTCATGGGAGGTGGAGCCACATTTGTGTTCTGGGTGGGATCACTTGTGCAGGAGAACATTACATTTTCTCCTGAAGGCAAAATGCTTGTAGGTTTTGCCTCTTTACTTTGTATTTACTTTTAAAATTGCACTTGTTCACCTACCAGTGTTTATGAAATCCTACATTTGGGATGCTTTTTCTATAATAAAATATTATCATTTGTGTGTCTGTTTTTTTAGCAGAAAGTAAAATTAGAAATGAAGATGTTGGGCCGGGCACAGTGGCTGTGACTCACACCTGTAATCCCAGCACTTTGGGAGGTCAAAGCGGGTGGATCACTTGAGGTCAGGAGTTTAAGACCAGCCTAGCCAATGTGACGAAAACCCATCTACTAAAAATAGAAAAACTAGACAGGTGTGGTGGCACATGCTTGTAGTCCCAGGTACTTGGGAGGCTGAGGCAGAAGAATTGCTTGAACCCATGAGGCAGAAGCTGCAGTAATTGCACCTTCTGTACTCCAGCCTGGGCAACAGAGCGAGAATCCGTCTTAAAAAAGATGGGTCTTTGAAGACCTCACTACCAAAGTGGTAGTTGAAGCCACAGTATGGTGAAGATCACCAAGAGCTCACATGACTGAAGAGGGCAAAGGCACCAGCACCAACATTTAAGTGGCAGGCAGAGGAACTAGTAAGAAGGAAGTCAGGGAGGTGTGAGAAGAGTTAGTTTGTTTTAGAGGTTAACAGTGTGAATGCAGCAGATCAAAATGAGGACTGAAGGGAACCCAATGGATATAGCAGAACACCAGTGACCAGAGGAGTGATATAAATACGAGCATGTTTTACACAGAGGATAGTTAGTAAATACTAACATTTCACACACACAGCAGAAACTAGACTGGCATGGATTAAAGTGGGGAGGTGGGAAATGAAGTAAAAGTGACTGCAGGGTGTTCCTTATGCTCTTCACGAAGTAGTACCTATTCACAGATCCATGCCTCCCCAACACAGGAGCATACCGACCAGCCTATAAAACCCTGCACTGCTCATTTTCCCTTCTGCCAAATCGCTGTTGCCTAAATAAAAACATCTCTGGGAAGCTTTACTAAGCTACTCACAACTCTAGGTTGGCTTGTCAGCACTGTCACATCGACACTAAAGTAGTAAGGTGATGCTACATTCCATTAAGCCACTTGGTGGGAATTCTCTCAAATTGATCTGCAATTCAGAACCACAGTCAGCTCCCCGTTGCCTCACCAGACTGCCTGGAATTGAATCTGTACATCACAGACACTTGAATGTGTCTTGGGCAAGGTGTTTTTCTCTGGGAATGTGCATGAAAAAGCATCACGAAGGCCATTTTTGTCAGTGATGGCTTTGGTGGATCATCCCAGGGAAATATGCTATGCAGGAAATGAAAATAACATTCACTGAATCCTTCTGAGTTCGTTAAAAACACCACTTGGGTTACGCAGGAGCCCAGGAGAACCAGGACTAGGCGATCTAAAAAAGTGCTTTCCAAGGAAATAATCCTGACAAAGAGCATTACCAACTGATGAGAGGGGGGAACTCCTATTAGGCCATATAAATGAGTTTTGAAATTGGCAATCTGTTTTGCAGAACCTGAGTATAATCCTGAAAGAATTCATGTGAATCTTACTTTTGACATTTTTTGGGTTTTTTTGAGACCGAGTCTCAGGCTGGAGTGTAGTGACACAATCTCAGCTCCCCACAACCTCCACCTCCCAGGCTCAAGTGATTTTCCCACCTGAGCCTCGTGAGCAGCTGGGACTACAGACATGTGCCACCATGCTATTATTTTTGTATTTTTAGTAGAGATAGGGATTTGCCATGTTGCCCAGGTTGTTCTTGAACTAACTGGGCTCAAGCAATCCACTCACTTCAGCCTCCCAAAGTGCTAGGATTAAAGCGTGAGCCATCATGCCCAGCCCTCTCAAAGTAATTCTAAGAGCAACAATGGATCAAGCTGGTACCCACCCATCAACACTCAGAAAAGCAGTGTAGGTAATTTAGATGTGGCGGAAGGGGGTACTAAATAAATGCCAATTAACCAAGCCACCTAAAAAGAAACAGGTACTAAAGACAATTGTCACACATTCCTGAATTGGGAGACTGAATGATATGATTTTTGCTTCATTTTAGTATGCAGTACAGTTATATATTATTTTCTAACTCCTCCAATGAGAGTAGGAAACAGAATTTCTGTGAACAGGATCAATACTGAGTCAGTGTTGCCCAACATGTTTCTTGGGATTCATAAGCCTTAGAAAGACATCACCCATTCTGGCTGCATTTAGCTTCCTCTGCCTGCTGTTTCTACTCTAGCTGGTCTTTGCCCCTCCCTTCTTGATTCTGAGGTGCTTTTCCCTACCCAGAAGGGGGGTTAACAAGTGGGACACATGGGACTCCTCCAGTAAACAACATTTCAGAGACAAAAGTCTGCTCTGGTGAACACAAGAGAGCTGAACAATTCCATCTTATGAGCTCATGAGATTCCTGGTCGACTGCAGACTGGGAAAAAAATGGGGCTGGGATATAAAGAGCTGTACAAAAGGTCCACCAGCTGACAGCATTTTTGTCAGGATGCGTCCTTGGCCATACTGTGAGGGGAGGGCCCACTGCCCTGCAACACAGAGGTAAGTGGAAGAAGTACCTGCAGTGGGGGCAAGAGAAGTCTCTTCAGTGATTCCAGAGACTAGCTCCCTAAGAACAAAAGTCAGTCCCAGCTTCCCTGAGATGGATAAGCACTTTGCATGAAGATGTGATAGAGTTTCAACATTAACACTTAAAATTAGGCGTTGTAATAGTTTGTGGACAAAGGGGTTAAAAACAGCCACCAGCACTCTGCCTCAAAGTTATAAGCCACTATTTGCTTTAAATCACATCACAATCCCTTCTCAGCCTTTTTGCTAAGATCAAATGCAGTATCTGTTTTTATCAGTAATAAATCACACCACAGATTTCCACTACTGTTTTCACACAGTTTATTCAGAAGTTTAAAAGTTAAAATGTGGGCATTTTCCCGTAAAACAAATCATCCCCTGTCACTCTGCAACAAAAAGACTCTCCTAACACTGCAGTTACTTCTCTTTACCCAGGCTTACCCCACACTCTTGCAAAACACACAGGAGTCAACACCCCAATTATTTGGTAATACAAAGAGACTACAAAGTTACACAAAAGAATCTCATTTACTTCCTTTTCACTAGCAGGCTATGAATGAAAGATTGAGAGGCAAACACATCATCTTCATCCAAGAGTTGAGACTTCCCTCTTCCTCTAAGAGGTTAAAACTCAAAGCAGTTTCACTGACAACTTTAACTCTGATACTCCATTTTTCTTTTCTGAATGGCTAAGCTAGGAGATACCTTCCTTTCAAAGCTGATCTTCACAACCTCAAGACTGGCAGAAAGCAGGCTCCCAGCTGCAGCTCAGCCACAATGCTCTGCAATAGGCAAAATTCCCACACAGGTGCAAATGATGCTTTAGGAGTTATCAAAACTTTTTTTAAAAAGTAATAATGCATTAATATGGAGCCTCCACATTTTTCTGACAAAATTTCTCTAAAGGTGGTGGCAGCTGTGAAACAGAAGGCACTTTGTGCTAAAATTCAGAGTCTCTTATGAGAGAACGCCACAGCAGAGAGACCCAATCCGCCTAACTTGCAGGCGACCCTTTAGGGTGGGGAGGAGTATCCTCCAGGAAGGCATCTGCAAAGGAAAAAACTGTAATCATGATTCCAAGGCAAAATGGCTAATGTTGGGAGAGAAGGAATACCAAGAGGAGACAAAACATGGTTGCACCAAGGACTGGGGAGTGAACTTTACAAGGACTTGTCAGCTGGCTCTGTACTTCTATTGGGCTGGTTCCTTCACCATTTCCAAAGAGGTTCTGGAGACCTTGCAGGAACAGGAAGAGCACCTTAGCCAAGAGGATTCCAGGCCTCCTGCCTCTGACTGGGTTCTCCTTGTTAGGTTCCCAAGGAATAAACTGAGTTCCCATTGGCAGTACTTGCAGGTATTGCTGGTCCACGGCAACATCTGTTTTAGGGGTTTTCTGGTATAGCCATGAAGAGAAAGTGAGTATTTTCCACATGATCCGGGATTCCTTGGCAATGCCCAAAGGCTTTCTGGGCCTTCTAAGAGCAACAATGGATCAAGCTGGTAACTCCCATCAACACTCAGAAAAGCAGCATGGGTATTTTATATTGGGGGCAGAGGAGATAAATCAATGGACTGACAGTCTTTATCTTAGTACCATAAATAAAGTGCACCATGAATGGAGGCTATAAGCCACTCCCCTGAGGTTGAGGTATGGGTAGAAACTTCCAGCACCACCCTCAGGGTGGTGGATCATTTCCTTCAGCCAGGATACTGGCTCCTGAGACTGTCATTATTGCTTTATTTCCTTAGTACTATGGGACTTTTAGCTATAAAGGAAAAAGAAATACTTGGTGGGCTTGGCAGACAGCATGTCACAAAATTACAGGAACTGGCTGATATTCGATGACTATACACGACAATCTCAATAATGTTGGATGATGGCTGTTTTTCCCTTTCATTCTGATGAACTTAGGAAAACTCAAGTTGTTTTGAAAACACCTATCGAATTGGCTCATTATGCTTCAGAAGAAGCAGGAAAGCTGTTTATGGCCAACGTAGTAGAAATGGTTGTCTTTGTTTACAAGTTTTCAGACGGATTATGGAAGAAAATCCTCTTATTATCACATTTCAGGAGACTTTACTATGACATATTGGTGAGTTACATCAACTTCTCGGAAGCTCTTCAAGAGTGTGAGAGGAAAAGCATGATGTTGTACAAAGAACTCTGCTCCATGTAGGATTCTGTGGCAAGAGTACTATTTTGCTGCTTTCATGTAGGAAGGTATTGCCCCCCTTGCAGTCAGACCCTCAAAGCGCTTGTATGTGTAATTGATGAAGACCCAGTCTTTGTTCTTGTAGTCAGTCTCAGGGTGATTACTTGTGGCCACTGGGAAAGAAATAGATGTGAGAGTTGATTCACTGCCTTACCTCCAATGGACTATTCACAGAGCTCAGAAGAACATACCAGTTTCTAATTGGGAAAGCTTATTTTTCACTCTACGAATTTTTTACATTTTCTTGCTCATGTTCTTTAAATCTCGTATTTCTTCACAAGTATTTTTAATGTTTTATTTTCCCATTCCTGTCATTTCAGATTACCTAA